TGATGGGAAGATTGTCAACTTGGAATGAAACAAAGGGAGAAAGTTGGAGATGAAATCTTATTTTTGGCAGTATTTAATGGCTGAAAATTGAGATGCGAAGATGCAAGTGTTTTGGTTTGGAGTGAGAATGGATGAAATGTGTAGACATGGGATCTTTGGTCAAAGGTCTGCAAGCATATGGTAGCCACATTGTCGGAGGAAACAGTAGTCATATTTGCTTGTCTACTTACCCTGTGTGTTGTGTTTGTGTGATTGAGACAGAGTGTTGACAGCTATACGGCTTGATCACCACCCTATATTGGTATAAGGTTGCCCATTGCACCTCTCAAAGAGCAGACGGACTGACCAGCGGCTACTATCAACATAACTCTTGGTGATGTTACAACATGGGTAACATTCCCCCTCCCACTATCAGTGGGGTAATGTGCATTAAACCTTGTTGAAAAACAAATTATCAAGTCTGTGATCAATTAAAGCGTCTGGTATGCAGACTTCGTTGTGTCTAGTGGAGATATGCTTGAGTTTGCTGGTAGTAATTCCTTCAAGATCTGTAATGAGGTGCATCGTGTGATTGCATAATACTGTCCCAGAATTCACCTCTACAAGCAGATAAAGTGTCAGTTTACAATTTATATAGCTATCGGTCATGTTTACTTTCCCCCTTTCCAAAATATTACTTTCATGTTATTGACATGAAATCCTTATTTTGAAAACACATTCCTCTATCAAGGGTGTTTGAAATTTTCGAACTATATTGTAAAACGTGTTCACGATATTTGAGAATGTGAAATTTTAACTAAGACAAACTGTGGAAAGAATGAGCCTGTGAATTCTGGAAATCTTGTTTTGTTTGCCCAGAAACCAACCTGTCAGGGATTCCTGAGGCTCGGATTAGTCGTATCATTTCTAAGAAAACAAATTCGGTGGGGTTATTTGTTAACACTCTTGGCAATGAGATACCCTGAATTGGACTGTGACACGAGAACAGGCAGGAGAGCTGGGTGCAGGTTTTGAAGTTTGGTCGAAGTAGAGCTGTTTTGTGATATCGAATGCTTAAAGTCTCGTCTAATAATGGAGTTTTGCTGTTGTTTGAGAATAAAACAAATAAAAGTTGTGCTGTGATTGATTTCCATCGTCATGCACCTAGGTAGGTCATTTAAAGATTGCTCTCTCTTTTTTTATTCAATCACAAATAAAGGAGTGTTGTTTCGGACAGTGTGAATTGATTTCACATTTAAATGAAGATTGATGAAAGGTATTAGGTTAACACAGAAAAGCGTTGATAAATCACAGCATGTTCGGCAACCATTTTGCATCGTAAGAGGAGAATAAACTGGAGTTAATTTCACCAGTTTCAGGTCAAGAAAATTAGATTTGAAAAGTTTGTTTGAAAGATAAATAACCAGTCTCCTTCTTGAATAAATAAGCCAGCAAAATCTGCTTAATGAGCTTTCCTTTTCTTCATTCGTTCATCTGTCATTCTGGCAGTTCATTTAGCTTTCCCCTTGATTAAGTTTTATGCTGTGCAGCTCACATTCTGGCTGACGATAAGGTTAAGTCTCCACATTTGAAATGAAAGATCAGGCAAGAAAACAATGCGAATATGATTGATTTGTGTGGGTACAGTTTGCAGGGAAATAATTCTTTTGATGTTTTGAAAATATGAATAATGCATCATAGACGTACAGTTCTTTCATGGATTGCTGTGACAATCTGGACTTGAAGTCAGTTGTGTACACTTGTTCCCTATCCATTGGGATGAATGGATACAACTGTTGCCTGCATGATTCATCTCATTGTTATGTCTAGGCGGGTAATAGGTTTATATCTACTCATGCGAGACCCAGACTATTTATGTTTATTCTCTGCTGTTTACCATAGAAACGGGACAATAGGAAGCAGAAGATGTACTCAGATGGTAATGAGACAAGTTGAAACATTGACGTTTTGCTAACCTCACAAGCCAGCATTGCGTGAGTCTGAAAGGGCCTGTGGTGAAAATGTCACATTTCATGAAATACATTTTAATGATTAGGTTTACACCAGGCAGATGAGGGTGTGAAACTGATGATCGCATGTTGTATACAATAGCCATATTGAGCAATCATTAGACTTGGGAAATCAAGCATTGAAAATCGATGAGCGGTCCGATTAACTGTTTGAAATGGAGGATGTTTCAGGGAAAAATGTCAAAATGGCATGGTTAGATTTCATTACATGTATTGATGTGCTTTGTTTTAACATGGTATTTGTGTGTGAAGCTAGGACTAATGACAACTAACACTGGGGCAGCATGTTGCACATGTGAGGATGTACTTGTTTAAATACCAGATAGGAATGGAACATGCGGCCATGTTGTGTCGGCCATGTTGGAATCAGAGCATCGCAGTGTGAAGCCTTTTTCTGAAAATGCAAATCAGCAATTTTCTTTTTTCTAACACAGTGGATTTTGGTAGCCCAGTTTTTATAAGTGTGTTTGCATGTCTTGATGAACGCTTCAAATCCTCCATGGTATGATGTGTGTTAAAACTTTTTAGTCTCGCAGCAAATGTCTTCAGAAGTGATTATGTGCCACAAAGCAGTATGAATTCGAACCATTAAAGCCAACGGGTAGTTAGTCTTGAATATTTGCCGAAACAGATTCCAAAGGCTGTAAAAGGCAAAAGAGTGATGAAAATTATACGAAGGATCACTGAAAACTTATGTCGACAGGTGTTCATGAACACACACTCAGTTCAAGATAATATCTGGTTATGATGTAGTTGGCTATAGAACTGTTTATCAATTTAAATTTGACATCTTTATAATGTTAGCTGACAAGTGTCACTCAAATAAATACTTGCAAATACAGCAAATGTATTAGATTTGGCAGGCTGGCAGCAAACAATGAGGAAACTTTCTGCCACCCAGTTAAATGAAGTTTCCCCAATCTTCTTGAGACCAGATTTCATTCTAATGTTCATTTGGTAAAATTAACTGGTTTAAAATAAGACAGATTCCAGGATCTCTTGCCAAAAACCCTTCCAGGCAACAGACACGGTCTTTATGTGAGTGTAAACCAAACACACTTATCAGTTCAATTCAGATCTACCCAATTACGATGTTTACCCTACAGCATGCTTACTAACACTAAATGGTGGAACTCGTTAAGTTCTCATTACACCTGCTATAAACTACCGATCTCCCAGCATTCCCTTCGACCCCATATCGAGGATACAATACTCACATAATCCTTAGTCGAGGACAGCCTACTGGTTTTCTCAATCTAACCTGTGTCCAATTTCGAACCTTACGGGTTCATGCACGTGCTCTTAATTGAGGCAGAGTTATTGCTGGGTTCATAGTGACTATTTAGAGGATAATTACTGCAGAATCATAATGAGTTTGTGTTTCCTAATGTTGAGTGTTGCTCATAATAGCATGAAAAATTGAGTCAATGGACACAGCAGATGATTGAATTTCAATGTGGCGTGATTTATGTTTATTACCTGACCTAAGGAACTCTGCAGGATTAGTTTTAATTTAAATTTAACTCATCTTCATCACTAAATTAATTCCTTGCCGTATCCTAACTGTGAACAAAGATATATTCTCAGACAGAAAGAGCATATTGTTCGTATGTATGTAAGATATGCCATTTGATGATTCTCACATTATCTGTTGTTAGGCGAGTATTATGTATGGCAAACACTATAGGAATTCCCTTTGAAATAAACCAGCTCTTTTGCAAGGATACTTGGTCTTTCTCATGGCCTTTTATCCTATAGGATAAGCATTTAAGCCCAATACAAATAAATCATTCCTGTCTTTGACCAGTAATTTTTTCCCCTCAGGGAAATATTCCGGCAACACTGACTCTGGAATGATATTTAGCTTTTCGCTTTCCTTTGATCTTACGTCATCTTTGAGTAGTTGTGTCCTGTCATCTTGGCTGCAAACATTTGGAATAAGACCGAGACCTGTTACATTTAATCATGCGGAATATATCTGTCAATTTGAGACTTTTTTCTGATGGATTCTTCACATTGCCACCTTGAATCAGACGACATCATTCCTATGTCGTGACAAGATCATGCTTTGATATGTGTTGAAAAATATTTGTATCATGAACTATTCAAAGGTGTAAGTTAACATTTTAAGCTCATTTGTAAACAAGTGTCATGAATCTTAAAAGACTTTTTTTGAAGCTGAAATTACAGTTGGAGTATTATGAATTCTTAGACGTGTTTGTCGCTAGATGCCAGGTAACCACTGAGGATATCTTAGCAACCGGCCTTGAGATTTATAAGCTCTCCGCCTTGGTGACAGCTTGGTAAATATGAAAGTATATAATACTTGCAGCTCTTAGATAGGGTGTGATCAGGTTGATGTCATTTTAATGTCGTTGTGTGAAATCATATCGAATTCTGCAAATGTTAAGAGTCTTGAAGCTAATAAATATAAGCAATAAAACTAGCAAAGTGAAGAGTCCATTGTATGTTTCAATAATTGCAATGAGACAGTGATAATACTAGGTGTTTGTCAAGATATGAGCATATCCTGCACCACCAGTGACCCAGGTCCCAAATACATGCAAAACCAAGTCAAATGTTTACTTGAAAAAAACCCACAGGAACACATGGTACAAGTCAAAATAGGCAATTGCAAATTATGAAGGGTTATAAAGAAGGAGGACATACTTAATTAGGAGATAAACTAGGTTTTAACGTTAAGGATGCAGTGATTTTGAGATATAGATTGAACAGGATCTAAAATGGATGATGCACACAAATGTACAGGATGTGCTGAGACATGACACATGCATCATCACACAGAAGGTACATAAACACACGAACATTTCATGCATCACCTTCATGAACAGATGCATACAGTGTGCATCAGTATGTTAATGTGCATTTTTACAATTTATGTCAAAAGTTTCTTTTTTACCTAAATTGCTCTTTGTGAAGTCCTTCATTTTGGTAATCAAAATATCTAAAATATGCTGATTTTGTTTCCAGGCTCGGATTCGGATTGTGGATGAGAATGACACGCCCCCACGCTTCTCAAGCTCCCTCTTCCTGGAGACCATCTCCGAGAATGCCCAGCTTGGACAGTCCATATTGAAGGTTGATGTCTCCGACCCAGACACCATCGGCAGCACACAGTTACAGCTGAATGGAAATGGCGCTGAGGATTTCTCTATAAGTCAAGATGGTGGGTGATAAATTGTTTTTACATTCCTTGAGTTTATGGCAACATATAAACATTGCTATGAAGCCCTGCTAACTTGGAAGGTCTTGGATCCATCAGAAATATATGCAGTTTTGAGAATAGAGTGCCTGTATTGCCTGATGGTGCGAATATGAGACTTTTGTCCAAGTTAGGAATGATCAGAGATCATAAGGTAGTGCTGATTGACAACTGGTCCCAGATATAAATTTATCTTATTTAAAAATGTCAAACAAAATATTGATCTGCAAAACAAATCCTGATGGAGCCCACCACAATCTTTAATTTCTGGAACTGAGGCAATCTAGATTTGCCAAATCATTCTAAACTTGAGTCAGAATCATGTTTAATCTATTCTCTTGGGTCTGGAGCTGAGGCGATCTAGACTTGCCAAATCATTCTAGACTTGAGTCAGACTCCTATTTAATCTATTCTCTAGGGTCTGGGAGACAGACAAGAGGTAAGACAATATTGAAGAATCTGTATTGAATTATTTGAGTTGAAGTTCACACAGTTTGTTTTATATATTCTACAGTGTCTGAATTTCTAGACACTGGCTTATCTTTGATGTAGATGTATCCTTTGACCATTTCACATGTCAAACACATCACAGCCCTTCCTGACATTCTCATGATTTTAGTTCCCTTTGCTAACTTTCTGATTTCCATTCCTGCCTTAGTAGAATTCCTTTACTGTACGCCTTTAATGTTAAAAGTGTCCTTGTGGCCTTGTAGCCTTTGTTCCAATATGGCGGCAGTCAAAGTTCTATACCTGAACTTTACATCCCATGCTTGAGTGCTAAGATCGGTTTGTAGAACAAGAATAAAAAGATTTGCTTGAGCTGAACCTCAAGAGATATGGACCCAGTCATGGAACCAACATGTTCTGTGATAGGTCAGGAAAGTGAAATAATCTTGGCAACCGAATAGGCATTAAAACATACTTCTACTCCAATTGAAGACTGCAGTCCATCAATTTGTCTGTTACTTCAAGTCCCAATAGTCTCTTGGAGCTCCACAGCATGTCTGGCACCGATATGTCTTTATTGTAAAGTAGAGATTTCTACCCCACTATAAAACAGTGCACTCTGGAACTTTCAACTCTGGATTTTAAAAAGTTCAGATTTAATTTGATTAAGGAAATGGGTTTTTCCTTTTGAAAGATTTTCTTCTTTAGATTTAATAACTTTCTTGTGAAAATACAGATAAATCTAGGTCTGGTGTAGTTTTTGCCTCGTTCTTTATAACTTGACTCCTCTCAATTAATTTCAAAACTTTTCAAGACCTGTTTTGAAATGAGAGCTCCCAGCTTCCAAGCCATGTAATGTGTCCAAAGTCCTTGTAACATGGATGGATTAGGGCTGACTTCAAATTTCCATAGATGACTGCAGTGCTGGGAAGTTCAGCTTCCTTGACGCTGACGTGATGAATATTTCACCAGTTGATCATTTTTTAACGGGAAGCAACAGAAATAAGTGATGCTCTGGAGATGGAGTTGAGTGTTAACCTGTCTCTCCTCCCCCGGCCTGGAGGGTAACGACTTCTGCACATCTACCATGAATGTGCAGTCGGGACTGGCAAAATTAAGTTAATTCCCCAAGAGATCAGGCTTAAGCTGCTGAAACACGAAACTGCTGCATCGAGAGTGATTTTTTACTATATCTCTTTTGAATAAAATCTAAATTGTCAACCAATTTTGCCCATACACTGTATGATTGAGTTGGCTTCTTAGGAACCCCCTTCAGAGAATTAGCTTATCTGCAAGCATCAACTGACAGTTTCAAGGGGGAATCTTCATAAGTAGCTTTTGAGAAGAATGGAGCTGACAGTTGGTTAATCAATTTCACTATTTGTTGCCAGTGCTAATCAAGCTGGAATCTTAGAAATAAGTTTTATGTTGAGAGCATACTTATCTTCATTGACAAAGCTGATGTTTATGTTGGTTTAGTTCCGAGCTTACACACTTTGGTGTAAAAATCAGTTCCTACCAAAGTGTTTACAGCATGAAATCATTAATAAATCGTTTTTATTGCAGGTACTTTGAAAACAGCAAGAGTTTTGAGTCGATCCCGAAGGAGGTCATATGCTTTCCGCATCCAAGCTTCAGATGGGCAGCAGACGTCATTTTCCGATGTTCAGATCTCAGTCAGGGATGAAAACAATCACCCTCCTGAGTTCACCCACTCTTTTTATTCCTTCGATGTCCCCGAAAACTCTGCAATTGGCACAACAGTTGCTAGTGTCACAGCCATTGACCAGGATGAGGCATCCAATGGTCAGGTGACCTATGAACTGGTTTCTGATTGGGGGAAAAGCAAGTTCCAAGTTGAAGGCAGCCTGGGCACCATAACACTGATTGACCAACTCGACTTTGAGGAGGTAAATAAAACTCTAGCCACAAGTACAGATTTGCTACAGATAGATGGACAGTTCTAATATATGAATGCTAAGTTACTTGAGAGAAGTGCATTATATTTCATTTTAGCCTCGACGTTTTGAAGAGTTTAATATCATCATGATGATTTTGCATGAGTCACGCCACAATGGAGAGTGCTAGAGAAACAAATACCTGTCTGAGAACCTTTATAGATATATGACCTGTCAGTAGGACAATTGTACATACCATGCTTTTATGGATTTGCAATTCATGTTCCGTAGTGCAACCTTATCTCAAATAGTTTGTTCGAGTTGCAGACAGGAAATTTGTAATAACATTTATGTCCATTTTTTGTGCTCTTCTGCTTCAAAGAGCCAGACTCTGCTACTTGCTGCTAGGGGTAATATACATATTGCAAATACATTTTCAACCAGGAAATGCTTTGATCTGATGCACTTTCTCCCAAAATTAGATTTAGTCGTAGACTTGGGACTTTGGATGAATGAAATGTAAACAATCTCTTAATTCAGTTGCAAAACTTGCCATTTGTGAAAGTGAATCAATTTTAAAGTGGTTGGTTTCAATTTTGATATGAATTGATAAGGGAGGGCAATAAATATTCTGTATGGGAACCAAATTTTAATAATTGTCACATCTTTGACTGTTGCAAGTAGATCAAAAGTTTCCATCTAACATGTTCTGTTTATATATTCAAGGTACAGTTGTACACCCTGAACATCTCCGCTAATGACGGCGGCAGTCCCTCCCGCGTCAGCACCGTTACCGTCTACATGAACGTGAAGGATGTCAACGACAACACGCCTGTCTTTGATCCAATGTCTTACAGTCAGGAGATCTGGGAGAACGCCCCCATTGGGACAACACTCCTCAACGTCAGAGCCACCGATATAGACACAGGTATGTAGACTCATCTTTCTTGGATGCATCAGGTGCGGTGAAACTACAATCTGTTGTGAGCATTATTAATTACAATCATGGTGTCAGTAAGCCGATGCAGGCTTACCGAGAATACTGACAAGCTGAGGATTACTGATAATTTGAACAGATAATGGATAACTTTGTTTTATTTTCGGTGTATTTGGTATCATGTGACATCTTGTCAAAGTCAGAAACAAAACAAAATGGCTACATTTATTGAACCTGCCATAGTACATTATGCCATCTCAAAACATTTCTCAGTAATTACATTTGCTGAAACAAAAAGAATTTTCTGGTGATTACTTAACACGGATAAGTAACAAAAAACGGCATGACACCTTTTTGAAGTGTTGCTGTACACCTGAAAAATGTTGAGTTTCATGTTACACATGTTTCTTCTGTCAACTACACTGACTGTTGTGATGACTGTCAAATTTCATTACAGTGTAGTGAATTATGGTTGACATTCGTTAGATCGATGGTGTATTGCTTTTAGTATTACACAGAAAATGGGTCAAAGTGAAACGTGTGAATGTCTCTATTGTAACACCACTGTGTGAGTTAACAGTGGAATAGGTAGGCCCCCAGTGATTGTCAGAAGAGCTGACATGAAGTTGTCACGGTGTGGGACATGGCCGATTGTTGCAACAGTCCTAGCAGGCATGGGTTTTCATCATGTTATCAATCGGGGTGGTTGGGTAGCCTAGTGGTTAAAGCGGTCACTCGTCATGTCAAACACCCGGGTTCGATTCCCCACATGGGTGCAATGTGTGAAGCCCATTTCTGGTGTCTCCCGCCGTGATATTGAAGGAATATTGCTAAAAGCGGCGTAAAAACCATACTTACTCACTCACTCATGTTATCAATCAATGGGTATTTAATAAAAATATAATTTACCTGTAGGTAAAGTGTTCGCTCATCACACCAGAAGACCCGAGTTTGATTACCCACATGGTGTCCCTGTGATATTGCTGGAATATTGCTAAAAGCGGTGTAGAACTAAGCTCGCTCAGTCACTCACTCATTCACCCACTCACCCTCTCACCCACCCACTCACTCACTCACTTTGTGGTATTTCCAAACCAATGTTGCACTATTGTGTGCTGATTCAGTTAGCATAGTAGGAAGTGTGTTAGCGTCTCAGTAGAGCATCGAGTTCTGCTCTTCACAAACTTTAAGCCCTTTCTTGTTATGCTGCTTAGAGCTGGAGAGGACTCCACTCTCTGTAGTTGATCCTGAGTGGGTTATTCTGGAGTTGTACTAAATTATTCCAATCCCAGCTTTAACCTAGAACAAGCACAGTGTGATGAGACGGCATAATGTAGTTCACAGCAAGTCTCCCGTAAGAACGTTATATCCCCTTGGATCCCTCCCGGATCCTCGTGTAACTAGAGGTTAATGAAGAGATGGGTGGTGTTTACACTGATGCTGACCACAGAGAAAACTAATACACCAGCTACCTGAGTCCACAGCTTGTCAGGGTGTCCACCACGGGTCAAACAAACTTGACCTCGGTCTCAGGGAGCATTTTGTACATGGGATCAACCATTTACCTGCCTTGTGTGTTAGATATGTTCAGGTCTATTTCTTGGCCTCTGTGGAAATTGCTTTCATTTTGACATGGATTTGTGTGTTGATGTGTGGCAGAATGGAATTTCAGAGATTTGTCAGTTGCGTATGTCAAGAGTTGTGATTCTTCACACTTGGTATAAGGGGTGGTGGGGTAGCCTAGTGGTTAAAGCGTTAGCTCATCACGCCGAAGACCCAGGTTTGATTACCTGCATGGGTCCAAAGCGTGAAACCCAGTTCTGGTGTCCCCCGCCATGATATTGCTGGAATATTGCTGAAAGCAGCTTAAGACTAAAATTCACTGACTGTCTCACTCTCTCTTGAAGTACAGACCTAAGGGTATGTGCAATGACCAGGGCAGATGTCTGGCTCCAACACCCACCTACCTCCGACACTAAACAAATGCAACGTTTTGCCAGTTCAGGAGGTGCTTTAGATCTTGTCCTCTAGTGGGGTTAGCTTAAACATATTATTGCCTCAAGGATGGGGTGAAGGCAAAAGTCAAAACCTTCAGCTGCCAATTAACTGTAAAACTGTTCCAGATTATGTCCACCTCACATGGGGTTTGCATGCTTAGATCAACACATTCCCAAGTTCTCTACGGGGACTCTTCAGCTGTTACCATGTCTGTTTCAGCTTGTTGTTTATGTTGTAAAACAGTCTTCAAACAATTTCAGTGGTCTTTGGGTAGGTGTGTAGTTGGAGAGTCACTTGTTGGTGGACTTGTTCTGTCCCCCACAGGTCTCCTTTGTTAAGTTCATGGTCAGCTTTTGGGGCGGTGGGGTAGCCTAGTGGTTAAAGTGTTGGCTCGTCACGCTGAAGACCTGGGTTCAAATCCCCACATGGGTACAATGTGTGAAGCCCATTTCTGGTGTCCCCCGCTGTGATGTTGCTGGAATATTGCTAAAAGCGGCGTAACACCAAACTCAGTCAGTCAGTCATGGTCAGCTTTGTCATTCTCGCCATGATGTTCATGAAATGTTGCATTTAGCTACAGTAATGTATCGGAGGGTAGATATGGTTTGTTAGTTTCATTGGATTTAAACTTCAACACATTCATGGTCGGAATACTCGCTTTTTTTATGATTAAGTGTTGTGGTTAAAATGTTGGCAAGCTATGCCTTAAAGTTTGATTCCCTGTGCAGTTGAAGCCATATGTATCCCCAACATGGCTGAAACCCAGTTATCTTGATATTGTCAGCAGAGGCATAAAACTCCACCCACACACTCATTCAGCTTTGTAATTAAACAGTTAATTTATTTATTTTTCTGAGCATGGTTTCATTCTCAACAATACACATGAAAATTGTCAATTACAATCATGAAACAAGATTTTTGTTTGCAAATGTTTGTAAATGTTTGCAAGGGCTTTTTGAACATTTAATTTTTTTATTTTTATTCAAATCAGTGCACATGAAATTGCCAATTACCAAATGCGAAACTAGACAAAATACCACACCTTTCCAAGCTCAGGACATTATAGATTCCAGTAATATACACCTCCTTATTGTGATTCTAACACATCAGCCCCAAAGGAGCACAGTGTCAGTCAGTACTGAATATGCATCTCTGAAAGTGTCAGAGAATGTACAGTTCAGCAGATGGTTGACGAATTAAACGTGACCTTTCCCAATTACGCCGTATCAATTTTTTGCAATTGCTCGAAATCTAGGGTCTGTTTTACACTCAAGTTGGAGGAATGTGCTCACCTTTTTCTCTCGGTCACAATCAGCGAGGACGGAGGTGTAACAAATATTGAGGACGTGCAGATTGAAGAGCGGCCATGTTTACCTTCCAGGGTCTTTGATGATGTTCTCTGTCTTCCATTGTGCGTAGGGGTTGCCTGATGACTAGTGTTACACTGATACATCACACCAGTTTTTACTGGTCATTAAATTCCTTAGAGGATTATTGTGAGACAGGTTGTGATTGAGGTACACCTTTTTGCCCTCCTATTCGCAGTGTTCATTTGTCTGCGTAATGTAAAGTGAAAACATGACTAATGGTAGTTCATCGTTTAAAAAAATCTTGTATCTGAATTTTTTTATTTATTTTTAAAATTCTGTTTGATTATACTATTTGAATGATATGGGAGTTAGCTCCAGTTGAAGAAAAGGACACGTTTTGTTTAATGCATTTTCTTACACGTTTTCTCATTTGTAGCTTGAATGGGTATGGAAGTCATGCGATGGTTCGTGTTCAGATTGGACAGATTAACATGTTATTGGGTAGGATATTCACTTATCACACAGAACCCTGTAGGGACTTCAGTCGAAAAAGGTCCCTAGCACTGTAGCACTTGTAAGAGGTGACTAAATTGGATGATGTGTTCAAGCTGTGTAATTTGGATGATTGACTGCAGCTTGATTGGATGATGTTGTTCATGTTTGGTCTAATCTTGTTGAGATTAGATTTAGATGATTAATTTTCACTCCTCACTCACTGCAGCTCAAGCTCCTGACTCCTCACGATCTCACTGTCTCACTCACTCCACGATCTCACTGTCTCACTCACTCAAGATCTCAAGATCTCACTCTCACTCAAGATCTCATGATCTGCTCACTCATGATCTTAATCTTGTCTCACTGACGATCTCACTCACGATCTCACTGTCTCACTCTCACGATCTCACTGTCTCACTCCACGATCACCCTGTTGTCACTCCACGATCTCACTGTAACGATCTCACTGTCTCCTCCACGATCTCACTCAGTCTCACTCACAATCTCAGGATCTCATCTCACTGTCTCTCAAGATCTCTGTCTTACTCACTGTCTCACTCACGATCTCACGATCTCACTCACTGTCTCACCACACGATCTCACTGTCTCCACGATCTCACTGTCTCTCGATCTCAGGTCTCACTGATCTCACTCGATCTCACTCATGATCTCACAATCTCACTCCACGATCTCACTGTCTCACTCCACGAACCAAGATCTCACTCATCTCAGTCTCAACAGACATCTCATGATGCAGGTTTGATCATATATGTGAACCAAGTCATCAGTGAAAAGACATTGCTGGCTATATATGTGGAGTGAGTGATCAGCAGCATCAGCATCTCTCTGCATCTCTAAGAGCAAGCGGAGCATGTAGATGTCGAGAAACTTTTCTTAAAAGTTTGCAGAGCCGAACAGTAAATGATGAGAAACACAACCCAAATTAATACTTTTCCCACATCATTCAACAGGTGACAAGCTACCTGAATCCATAACTTACATGAAATATGAATAAATGTATCAGGTTTCTATATAATCCCCCAGTGAAAGGGGTACGGAGGCTGGTCACCTGTAACAGTTACATATTCATGTCAGCCGCCATTATGGCTTTCTGATGGATGCAAAAGCGTTTGTGTACAAATGTACGTCTATTTGATGGGCTATTTGCACCTGTTGCCTCTGAAATTA